GGGGCCGCAGCGGGCAGGCACAGTGGACGAACCCCCTCGTCATTGCGCTCACACCCCCGCAGCAAAACACACGCGAAAAAGCAAAAAGACGAGGACAATTCAGGTGCTCCCTCCATCCACGTTTTCCCCGCACAAGAACCGCTTCTGCCGCGCCGCTGCCAAGTCTCCTCTAACAACAGAAAAGAACAGGACCCCCAAAAAAAGGAAAAACAACACTCAACAACTACACGGTTCATCCACTCGGTGCAAACTTTGGCAGTTGGCACCAACGCAGGAGCGAAGAAGGGACAACATCCGTGTGGCGCGTCCATCAACGGAAGGGAGCTAATGCAGGCACCTCCATGCCCAAAGTATACGATGCACAGGGCACGGGTTTCGCGGTCTGTAACGCGCAAGGCACGTCGAAGCCCTTGTCCTATGCTCGCGGCGGTTTCGTGGCAAGGCATCAGCACCTTCCCCCACACCCCTGCAGGTCTCCGTTGTAGCCGTTGGCCGCTCGCACGGACCGCACGCCACCATCGCCGTCGCATCGCTCCCGCTTGGTGCCACCTTGCTGCTCGGCCGCGCACCTCCGTTCTGCCCTCTTTTCTCTCCGCTCAATCTTCCCGACCACGCGACGCCAGTGCGGATTGAAGTTCGCCACCGGCGGGAAAGCCCCCGCACTGGGCGCGGCGCAGGCACCCCCGCACCAGAGGCGTTGCGGCACTGCCACCGCTGCGGCAGGCCGTGGCGCCCAACGCCGCTGGGCAACACCGCGACCGGCAGAGCGTAGCCGTCGCTTGCCGGTGTGCCCATCGAGCGCAGAGCGGGCGGCGTTCTCACGGGGCACCAAAGTGGGCTGGGAAGGCAAAGCAACAGAACCCAAAAACCACGGGCGGGAAAACAAAACAAAAAGAGGACAAATACAATCCCCCGGCGCAGGGTGGAGAAGAAGGAACAACATGTTGGCGTAATAGTTTGTCCCTGCGCGTTTCGTCTAAGCGTGGCCCCCTCGCCTCTTGCCAGCGGCTCCATCCACGTCGGGTGCCAAGTTGGTGCGGGAAGAAGAGGCAAACACAGCAAGAGGCTCCTCCGCAAAGAGGCAAGAGCAAAGCACTCTGCTCCCCAGCGCCGCGCTCCCTCCCTATCCACCCTGCCCACTACATGTTTGCTATTGCTGTTGTTGTCTCGCCTCGTCAAGCTTCCATTCATCCTCGAGGTCGTCCGCGTGCGCAACCGCCGAGGCGATGGAGAACTCAGAGGAGGACTCAACTGGCAGCGCGGAGGAGAGCACCGAGCCACTGGCGGAGGTGCTGCCAGAGCCGCCGGCTGACGTCGGTGCCGCTTTCTTAGTGGACGACCGCGGGCGCTGCGTCGTGGGAGCGAGCGCGACGCAGGGGCCCTTCCTGCACGGCACCTGCGGCTCTTCATAGGCCCGGACGACTTCCACGCGGACCGCGTCCCCGACTGCCTTGCTCTGCCGCCCCTCGGAAGCCCTCCGCGCGCCGCCCCCAAGCTTCACCTGACGCTTGACGAAGTCCCGCGGCTTTCCACCGCAGCCCCGCAAGCACGGGCCGCGGGCCTCCTCCTCCCCGCCGCCCGGCAGTCACATGGCGCGGCTGACCGCACAGCAACACGCGCCCCGGCGAGGCGCGACCGGTCAACGCCGCGAGACACCGTCGCCGCGCTGGGTCGGCCGACAGCACCGCCGAGGGTCCTAAAAAATGAGAGCAGGAGGTCTCAACCAACGCGCACTTTTGTGCGTCGAAAGCGGAGCTTCCATCTCACTGATGGCGAGTCGTTGCGCCGCCGTCCCGCCGTGGAAGTCCCTCCTCCCTACTTCACCGCCAGCGGGGGAGGAGGCGCTGCGCGGGGACATCGCCCCCCGCGGGCGACCCCAAATGTCTTTGGTTGGCGCGTCTTGAAGACGCCGCCGGTGGGCGCCGCGGAGGCGGGAACGCGGGGCAGGTGGACACCCTGTGCGTGCGCCCTTGTCCTTCAGACGGTCGGCGGCGGCCGCCGGGGACACCCGGGCTCCTCCCGCCGGACCCCTCACCGTGCGGCGGGAGGCCTGAGCACCGCGCGGAGTGCCCGCCGACGTCCCCACCACGC